CCCCCCCCCCCCCGTTTCCTTCCTGTTTTATTGGATCAACTTGTGGCCAGAGTACATGAAAAAGGACAGTTCCCAAAGAGATAACCATGGTATGTTGCATCAAGAATAATCAAGAAAGTCTCTGTGCCACTTAATATTGGTTCCATAGCTTACTGGTCACAGGGTAGCTTTTTCTGCATCCATTTCATTTGGATAATTTCCAATGAAGATCTTTTAAAGGCTTGTCTGCTTATAGTGCAATTTCCATAATTTTTTTTTAAAAAAACGCTATCAAATTCCTCAAAACTTCCAGCAGGTTTTCAGACTTTATTTGCAGCAGCCTTCAACCTATGTATACAATCTCTTTAACATTTTGACACTTAGTTATTTCTGTAGGCACTATTAAGTACTAGCTTTGCATTTTTAAAATTCTTGTATAACTTGCTTGCATAGCTAGCCTTGTGTTCCTGATACCTCTTGGCCAGAAAAGAGCATATGAAGTCTCAATATGGCCTTCCACTGTCTGTGACCTGGAGCTGGGATGTTGTTTATTTCTTTTCCTCTTGCTAAAAGAGATGTTAAGAATCTCTCAACAAATGTGATGGGATTTTGCATAAAGCCAGTGTAACACGCAAGTTAGATCTTACTGTGCTTTGACTTAAATGTCTGACTTTCTTGTGACAGATTAAAACTCAATAAATTTTTTAAAACAAATTTTGACTTTTCTTTCATGTGTGAAGAATCAAACACTACCTTGTGGCGTGGTGTACTGCAGCTAAACGCTGCTCACAACATAGGGCTCAGTCCCAGGTAGCCAACTGAAGGTTCATCCAGCCTTCCAAGGTTGGTAAAATGAGTGCCCGATGTGGTGGGAGGGAGGCAATCTGTAGCCTTCATAATTAACTTGCAAACCGCCCAGAGGACAGTTTATAAGCAGCATGCTTCGCTTTTACTTTACCTTCCAGAGTTACTTCTTTCTTTCCCTGCCTGACACACTCCAGGCTTTTTGGGTAACAACTCTTACCTTCTCCTATTGGCCATGCTGTGATGATGAAAATTGTTGTAGTCACAAACAATGGTTGCTATCTTGGTGAAGGCAGCTTAGCCTCCATTGGTTAACTGACATATCACTACCTGCTGTGTACAGTAAAACGGTGGCTGCTGCCTGAAATCGCAGGCAGCTTAGCCTCCATTGGTTAACTGACCTGCTGCGTACAGTAAAATGGTGGCTGCTGCCTGAAATCATGATACATGAAAACAGACCTGCTGCGGGCAGATGCATGCATTTTGTATATAAAGAAATTAGTGCATGCATTTGTTTTTGAACTGCTGGAAGAATAAAAGGTGGTGGTACAGCTCTAGCTACTGATAAATCCAGGTACTGTACTAGGTTATGCCCAACTTTTTAACCAGAGAGAAGAGAGACAGGAAAGCAGATGAACACTTTTTCCCCAAGGCCCTGAAGAGACACTAGGACACAGAAACCCCTATTCAAGCGTAAGGTATACCAGAGGTACACTGCTTTTACAGATGCCTACTAATGTCAAGCATAAGGAAGCCACAGCAAATGGGAAAAATTACAAAGTTCATCTCTGGAACACCATTTCCTACTACAGTGGTGCCCCGCTAGACGACGACCTTGCTGAACAATGAAACCGCAGGACAATTTTTTATCGCTATAACGATTGCAAAACTGTTTACTATGGGGGATTTTCGCCTGATGTAGATTAGGTCCTTGCTTTGCGAACCGTTTGTTCGCAAAACGATTTTTCCTGCTCCGCAAAATGGCTTCCCTTCAAAAAATGGTTCTTTTCCGGACAGAAGCTACGCTAGACAGCAATTTAAAACAGCTGACAGGTGGTTCTCTATGGGTGATCTACGTTGGATGATGAGGTATTTCCCCATTGGAATGCATTAAACGGTTTTCAATGCATTCCAATGGGGATTTTTTCGCTTGACGACAATTTTGCTATACAGCGATTTTCCTGGAACTGATTATCGTCGTCATGCAGGGCACCACTCCTCCCACTCAGTGAAAACAGAACTAGTTTTTGATCTGATATTTTTAATCAGAGTTTCAGCAACTGTACTTTCAAAATTCTGAGTTGCATCAGCAATAAAATATCCATTCTTCTCCCTTCTTCTAAATGAAACCATTATTAAATACAGTGGCAGTTTGGGATTTGTGACATAACCTACCAAGAAATTGAAAGCCAGGCACTTTGGAAAACTGTGGCCCCAGTCCAGCTGCAGCTGCAAACAACTAATAATTCATGACAACCAACTATGCCAAATGGAAGCACACATCTCTGTGTACATACGTATGTACATGTGTGCACACAAACACCCACATCAGTTCAGTAGCTCGGGCAAGCATGTTGTGCAGCTGCATCACCAACATTAATCTTTCTTTCACTCTCTTCTCACCCACCACGCACACTGGAACCTCAAAACACTGCTAGAATTTCACAATGTCAATCTTTTTATATTATCTATAATATATATTTTCAAAATGAGGTAAGACATTCTCCCAAGAAGGGATCTCCCACAGGTTCCATTCCAGCTTCCATGGCAGCCATTATTGCTCTGTCTTTGGCTAGGTTCTGACCGGCTGCCAGATGAGCAAGAGTATTTTATTGCCATTCATGGTAGCCGGTGGGGCTGTCCCTCTGCCGTCCCAGGATGCAGCCCCTAGAGGCCACCTCTAGCAAGTGGGTGAAGTGGTGATGGGACTATGCAGATATGGAAGGCTGCCGGGAGTGGAGTGAACCGCCACCGAGACTGGGAAGCTGAAGACGAACTGGGAGGTGGGTGTGGAGGAGGGCTTCCCCCTCTCCCGCAGTGTCCCTGAAGGGCTGGCTGCCTCGGCCGCACAGGTTGTCGCCAGCACCTGGGACTCGAACTGAAGTAGCTGCCCCATGAAGCTGAAATTGGGGGAGATGATGCTCCGGCGCTGCTTGACAAACTCAAAGGCTTCCTCAAGCTTAACTCGCTTCTTCATGATCAGGTAGGCCAAGCAGATGGTGGCCGATCGGGAGATGCCAGCTTGGCAGTGCACAAGGACCCGTCCGTGGCACATCTTCACAGAGTCTAGGGGGAGAGCAAAAAAACCAGCATCAGCACACACAACAAAGGAAGCCAAGGCCAAAAAAGAAAACAAACTAACAGGAGTCAAAGGGATGCGAGAAATGTGCTGCCAATTACACTAGTGTGTAGAATTCCAGCCAGAGAACCCACCGCCCTGAGAGGGTCAAGGGTCCAGATTGGTTGTGTGGATTTTAGAAATATGTTTTGATAAAGTTGGAAAGATACTTATGAAAATGGATGACCCAGAGTTATCTTTGAATTCAGCCAGTGGAAATGCTAACTAAGTTTATGAATGGGTTTTGAATGCCCTCAGCTTTATTTCCTTGAGCAGCAAAACAATATGCATGTAATCTGACAACATCTGGAAAACCAGTCGCTCAGCCCTGTGTATGCAGTAAGAGGTCACGCAAATACATTAAAATTTGTATGCTGAATTTTCTGGGACAGTATGCAAATCAGCTTGTCAAGTGACACAGTTGTGGTATTTTCAAACTGTGGATTACACAGCTTTGACTATAGTCAAATACACAGACTGGAGTTAATTCCAAAATCTAGATTATACCAGTACATTTCCAGGCCAACAACAGCAAAAAAGACATCAAAATATGTGCAAGGTTTTGAAACCTCCAGTTCTGTGCTTGCTTGTCTTTTGATTTCCATACTTTACCGCTGAAGGCAAACTCAGGAGCCTGTTTATGAATGGTGTTTGAATAATGCAAAATGTCTGTCTTCCCAGAGGGAAACCACCCTCCTTCACCTGATGCTACAGGATCAGGGCCAGAAATATGTATGCATGAAGTGACCTGTGAGGCGCTGTGGCTATTCAGTGTTTTGGCACCGATTCTTCCTATTGTGAAGTGATGTGGTTGCCCCCGTCATGCTTGCAAAACAACCCTCCTGTTTCCCCCAAACATGGAGCATCCCATTCATTAAACACCCAGTTCTGACTGCAGACTTTGTCGCGGCTCCTCTTGTTTGAGGGACCCCCATCCACCTAATACCTCCCCCACCTCATGCCGACTCCCTGCATCTGCTACAGCATTTGCAGCTGTCAAATCTCAGCAGTGCTCAAAACAACATTACCCAGGCATCCTGTTGCCATAGCAATGTACCTGGCCCTAAAGGGAGGGAAAAATTTTCTCCACTTTGGCTGCTGCCAGAGCAACAGGGGACAGAGAGGAGAAGTCTGGAAGGGGCCTTTTGCGTATCAAAACCTAAGGCCAGGGTGCCAACCTTCACAGATCCACGGCCACCCCAGACTTCAGAGGGCTACACCCCCATCACCCTAGCCACCCCCACCCAAATTTTTAAGGCATTTTACTGAAAAAGATCCCTCACACCTGCCAGTGACTAATTTTTTAAAAATTCCATTTGGGGGGCAGTTGTAGGGTATCCTAGATAGGGAACTGGCCTCTTGCGGGCCCTCCCTCATTTGGCCCACTGGGAGCCACATACAGCCAATGGGCTACAAGTTGCCCACCCTGACCAAAAGCAACGTATTGTGGCTCCAAGGCTCCCAAATTTAGATCGCGACCCAAAAGCTTGGACCCTGGAACCAGAGCCCAGCTGCTTCTGCCCCACGTACCTATATATTCAATGGCTTCCATGAACCAGGAGCTGATGTCGGTTTTGTGGTTATCTTCCACCGGAATGCATTTGTACTGAAAGTGTCCTTCAAAGTGGTTTGGGCAATCGGAGGAAACATTCAACAGGGCTGTGATCCCCAATGTGTCCAGCATGTCCCTCCTTGCGGCGTGGTGCGCGCTGCCGAGGAAAAGGAAAGGAAGGATTTCCACCGGACCACCCTGTTCCCGAGGGAGACACAAGACAGACAAATCAGGATGATGCTAAGAGGAGCACAAGAGGAGGTGGCCGGCCTTGCTAACTCACCCGTCCAAGCTTCCTGAAAGAAACCAAGCCTTCTAAAACGGCAGGAAGCCTGAGGGAGAAGATCCCTTTGGCCCCAGTGAAGCTATAGCAGGCTCTTTACACCTTGAAGGCCCCTTCATTCTTCTAACTTGACTTGGCTCTTTATAGAGACAGGTAAAAAGTCCTTTCTCCTTTCCCACTGAGTCTTCATGAACAAGGAGACTTCACCGTTCCTAGCTGCTCTTGCTCCTTTGTTTTTGTGTATTTTCAGCATAGCTTGGAAATGCTGCCTTTTTTTGGACTACAACTCCCAGAATCTACCACATTTTAGATGTAATTTTCATACGATTTAGGACAAACGAAAATGATTACTCTGAGAAGATATACACAGATATACAAACGAAACACTGATGGTGGAAACAAAACTGCAAGCGTGTTTGGTGTACATTCTCAGTACCTGTTTCTCTAGGCATGGGTGTGTTCCCTGCTGAGGAAGAAACCTCAAATGCTGCAACAAGGGTGCCCACATACTATGCCCAAGAAAAGATGGATTTGTGGATAAATTAGGAATTTTAAATAACTTTGCCTACATTTTTTTGCAGCTGAGAAAGATGTAAGGAACTACAGTGGTGCCTCGATTAACGAGTGCCCTGTTTAACGATGAATCCGCATAGCGATTGAGTTTTTGCGATCGCAAAAGCGAATGCATAACGATGTTTTAGATAGGTAAAAATCGCTTTGTGATGATCGCAGGGAAGCGCTTCCCCGCGATCGTCACAAAGGCCCCGCCGATCAGCTGTGTTGCGAGGGGTGGAGAGCGAGCGAGCGCCGAAGCACAGCTGATCGGCGGTGGTTTGCAAAGATCGCGGGGAAGCCGTCATCGCAAACCCCCACCGATCAGCTGTGCTTCGGCTCTCTCTCCCCTCGCAGCTCCAGCCTCGGCAGGGAGACTGAGGCGGCGCTGCCACCCTGGCCGAGAAAGACCTTCTGCAGGCGCAGAACGTCCTTCTCGGCCAGGGTGGTGGTGTGGTGCTTCAGTCTCCCTGCCGAGGCTGGAGCTGCGGGGGGGTGGAGAGAGAGAGCACCAAAGCACAGCTGATCGGCGGGGCCTTTGGGAAGATGGGGAAGCGCTCCCCCGGGATCATCCCAAAGGCCCCATTTTCGCACAGCTGATCAGTGGTTCCAAAATGGCTGCCTGCTGTGTTGCCTCGCTTTAGAGGCACCGAAAATGGCCGCCCCTATGGAGGATTTTTGCATAAGGTGAGTTTTTAAGTCCCGAGGAACGCATCAAACACATTTTAATGCGTTCCTATGGGCTTTTTTGTTCCACATAGCGACTAATCCATATAGCGACGATTTTTTCGGAACGGATTATCGTCGCTATGCGGGGCACCAATGTATCTGGGGCCTTTTAAGTGCCACTCACTGCAGTAGTTTCTCCTTTTAACATTTTGACAGACAAGCGTTTCCCACAAAATTCTCTCCCAAGTAACAATGAGGGCTAGAAACCTGTTCCATTTTTAAAGGGAAATAAATAAATAAATTCTCAAGAGGCTGCGTTCTGCACCTGCAACCAAACTCTGCTGTTCTCTGTTTTTATAGCAAACTCCCATAGGTGTAGTTGTAGTTGACCAGAGCTTGCAGTTAAGGACAAAATGCAGAGACTGATAGAATTCTCAACTGCACCCACCCATGGTGGGCGAAAAGCCAAACTTGAATTCTGGCTGTGAATTGCCAATAGCAACAAGGAGACATCTATCCACATTCATTATTCCCTAGAAATTCTCAGCAGCCCCCACATTTTGAACATGCACAGTAATACCCCATTCTAAGTCTTCTGATCCTGTTGCGAGACTGCAGTTTATCCCCTGAAATGTGCAGTATGGAGATGTGTTTTAATGGTATTGATACAGTCTGTGGACTGAAGATGACAGAGTGTGTGGGTGCTACGGAAAACACTGCTCAGAATTACATTTTGGGATGCAAGACTCAGCTTGCCTCCGAGTTGGAGTAAACACAGAAGCTCTAATCTCGCCAGGAATGGATGGCTCTCTAAAATGTATACTGCTGTTCTAAAGAAGCCTCTGTTATCACTCGCTGACAGCACGAAATAAGGTCCATGTGAGTTTAATATTTCTCTTTGACTGGGGGGAATGTGCTTACATACAGCTATGTGGATTTAGAGCTATAATATTTTTTAAGCAGTGCAACAAAAGTCTTCGTCTGAAAGAGTGTTACATCACACTCTGTTGAAATGCCTACTCTGTCCTTGCATGTTTGAAAATGCAATTACACTTGCAGCTTTTTCTTCTTCTGCTTTTCCATTTCCAAGAAACAAGAACCATAAAAGGCTTGGGGTTGGAAGCTTCTCCTCCTGACAGTCGGAAACCTCTTTAAGCCCATGAGCCAAGCTCCATTTCTGAGAAGTGCTCAGGGGCAGGCAGGTCAAAAGGGCAAGACCAAAAATATACCTGCATAGTTTGAGTTTAAAGCTCTTAGTACCAGCAAGCAAGAGAAAGCCTTTCAATGTTTTAGAAGGGAGGAAATCCTACAGAAAAAAATGGGGAAACCACAAAACCAAAAAGATAGTGTCATAGGGAGGGTTATGTGGCCACCTGCAGAAGCCCACCTCTGCTCTCCTGTTATAGAAAGAAAGGTCGCCCAAGAGAAAAAACCCCACCCCCATCACTTACTCTCAAATTACCAACAGTGTCACCATCAGCCTATCAGAGCGCCTACACCTTTGTTGCAACTACTCCGTGGCCACCCATTAAGACAGAAGTCACTTTCTCAAAACTAATACTCCCCACCATTCTTTGGCCAAGCACCACACGCCATCATGATTGAAAAAGAGACCTGTGTCCTAAAGCAGGTTCTGGTCAAGGACTGGACTGAGAGGTCCAGATCTGACCGAGGCAGACACTTCCATGTGCTGTGTGCAAACCGGGAACATGCTACAGTAGTGTAATGAACCGTAAGAGCCACACTCTCCTGTCCTTCCCTTCCAAAGTGGGCCAGACCATTCTCCCATTTCAGAACAACTCCAGCAAAGAACAAATTACCCAATTCAGGAAATCTGGGGTGGGGGAATCTATTGTTTTTGTGACAGAGCAAAATGTCATGGCTCTGTTCCCACAGATGATACACTGAAGCTACAAGACTAAATCCCTCTACTGCCACACCATTAAAACCTGGATCATTTGATAGCAGCTGGGGTGCTGTCAACTCAAGGGCAGCTCCTCTCCCAAGCTGGATTCTCTCCCCTAGGGCTTTTTTTGGGATTGCTTCGATGGCCTCCAATCCAATCAGGCTTCACCCTGCACAACTTCCAAAATCAGACAACACTGGGTATGGCGTCTGGGTGGCGGCGGTGGGGAGAAGCACCGGACAAGCTCACCTGATCGTGCTGCGGTGTCCCACAGGAGCTGCAGCTATGCTCAAGATGCTCTACCGTGGTCGGCGAAGGAGGAGTCGTAGGGGATTTTGTCTTCATACAAAACTCTGGGTATTCTGAATGAAACCTCTCATAGCCACCTGAAAGCAGAAGACGTTGCAACGTATTATACCTTGTCCTGCTACACAGTGGGGGGAAAAAACACCACTCTGCAGTGTGCAGGAGCGGAGTAATGGAAGCAACGGGGGGGGGAGCGAAACCACTCGGAAATATTGTTGGCCTGATGATCACCATCCTCTCAACCACTTTTTCTTCAGAAGAGGAGAAACATATATCTTCAACTGCCTATTGGCTGAAAATCAATGGAAAGTCCCAACTAGAGCGAGCCCACTGAATCAGTGGAACTTACAGACAAACTGACTCACCAAACCCCCCATTGATTCACTGGCCTCCTCTAGTTGTGGCTTTCTGCTGGGTTTCCACCATTATCTACACCTGGAGTGCAAGCCAGCTTTGGGCTATCTGTTCAAAGGCATAGCTATGACTGCAGAGAGAGGGAAAACAAGATAATCGGTTTAAAGCCCAGGCCCCCGTATCTGTGGCAGAAGTTTCTCTAAGAGCAAACGAGACAGGAGGGAAAGGAGAGATGTACAGGCATCTGCATTTGAAACCCTTCTGGCTTGTGTTGACTGAAAGGAGTTATTTCCCCACCTGCTGAGGCATCCATATTTATAAAGTTTAACTTCTGATTTTTAGAAAGCTGTCACTACACAAGGCCAAAGGGGAACTGAACAGGATAGGTAGGAAGAAATTAAAATATCATGTACCAGGAGCACTTACTACAAAAATGTGCTAGGTTCAAGCTAAAGATTTTTATTTTAAAATCTTTTTTTAAAATCAACAAACATTTTAAAGCTGCCCTTCAGCCTGGCTGGATATGAAGACAGTGCACAAATACAGCTGAAGCAGTCTAAAACAGAGAGGGGAAACAACGGGCCCTTCAGCAGCGGCAATTCGGCATGAGGAAGAGTTTGGGCGAGGCACGTGGAAGAAGAATGAAGGCAAACCCACAAAGGAAGATGGCCAGAAAGCAGGGCATGCAAAGGCAGAAGCCCAACGGAGAGCATGACAAAGGAAGAGCTCCTTCCCCGAGGACTTCAAGAGGACTAGCGCCCTCCTCAACCACCCAGCTAACTCCGACAAAAAGGTAAGACATTCCAGAAGCCACTGGCAGTTCAGGTTGGATCCTGCAAGCCACCCCTAAATAATTATGCAGTTCTTTCTGTGCTCTGGGCCCAACAACAATGGGTGGGAACCCCATTTGTGCCTTTGAAGGGCACCTTGATTCTGGGTGATCAGAGCCAGAGCCTTAGCTACAGCCAGGGTCTCCTATTTCCCAAGGGCCTCTCGTGTGGCTCTGCTCTACAGGAAGCCAGTCAATGCCTTTCTATTATGCCAGGAAACTATGCAGAACAAAAATCCACACAGCAGAGAAGCCAGCTCTGATTTTCCAAAGTTCTCCAGGGGACAATCGGCTAAGAACAAGTTTGTATCTTCCTACCGAGATTCAGGTAACCCAACGAGATCACTAACTGGCACCTTCGCACTGAAGGCTTGGGCATCATTGTCACCTTTTCACCTTCAGAAAAAGAGCAATTCTTGTCAAAACACCCTAGGCAACCTTAAACAGCTATTAGATGTCCCGTTGTCCAGCCAAAGGTGTCTCTCTCCTCCTCCTCCTCCTCCTCCTCCTCCTCCTCCCCAGCACTGCCCTCCCAACTAAAGACCCCACTGCAGGGCTCTCATGGACACACCATGCTCACTGCAAACTTTACCCCTCAAAAAAAGAGGGGGCCGTCTCTTTGTGTGAGAGAGGCACAGATCTTTCTCTTGGAAAGCATGCACTGGGATGGGACAACCTCCACCATCACTACTCCTCGTGCTCAAGTGATCGCCCAACATTTGCTCATTCGTCGCAGAAAACGGTCCTGGGTTGGATCCTACCATATGCTCACAAAAGATCTCCTCGTGGATGGAGGCAGGGGTGGTGGTGCTGGAGTCACTCATCCCCCCTTCCCTCGATATGGAAGAGCTATAAGGCCCATACATCAGGATACACATCAAGTCCTTTCTCATAGCAGATGGGATCAGAGTTCCCATCCAGGCTTGTGGGAGGTTCTCGTGCCTTGTGTTGGCGTTCTCTCTATCACCTTGGCCGTTACAGTTTTAGGCTGACCTCATCTGCGGCTGGCAGCGTGTCGATATCAGGCCACCACCAGGACTTCAGTGCCCAGGAAGCCCTCTTATCTGTCCCAGAATGCTTTTAATTTCGAATGCACTTTTTAACCCTGACAGCTGCAAGGCCAACACCACCCAACAGCCTCCATCTTAAATTTCCCCAAAACGCTGCAGGGCTCTAAACGGCTCCATGCTAGCAAAATCATACAGCTGCCTTTTACTTTAAAAAAAAAGCACCTGGCTTTGACATCTGTCCTACCCACCCAGCCAGCCCTCACACAATGAAGCTGGAAGGAATGGTTCCGGCTGCCTGGTAAGCTTGGGTATGTTGATGGGATGATGATGATGACAGGGAGGGGTAAAAGCAGGGGCAAATCTACTATGAAACTAATGAAGCTTAAGCTTCAGGGCCCAGAAGTGATTTTAGTTCACATCTTTTTTAAAAAAATGTGGTGACCTGTCGTGGAAAAACTCCACCGGAGAAGATCTTGGCAGTGGTTACCCAGATTTCGCTGCAGGTTGCGAAGGCTCCCCTATAACAGTTCAAGCTTCGGGGCCCCAAAAATGTAGGTCTGCCACTGGGTAAAGGGCATTGGTGGAGGAGAGAAGCAGAAGGGTTAGCATATGAGTGGACGTTTTGTTTTGAGTATGATTTGTGGGAGGCCTTCTGGTTGACCAAGGGCAATGTACTGCCCTGCCTTCCTATCAAAGAGAAGCTTCATCTGCAGCGTAAAACTGAGGATTCCAAGCACTGGGTGAGAATTCTGGTGCTCGGTGCCCACTCAGTTAGTGGGGATTTGATGAGCCCACTCCTCTGCAATCGGGCTGCTGGGCAACTTTTATTTATAACCTGGCTAGTTTGCCTTCTGGGAAACGGGTGACTGGACTCTGCCTCCACGGTGGCCACTTTGTGAGCAGACACCTGGGCAGTTATCTTACAACAGTTGCTGTGAAATATCACCAGCATTCTGAAAGCTCACCAGAGAAGCAGGGGACTCCTTTATAAAGGGGTTCTTTAACTGAAAACTAGTATCAACCGTCCTCAGCGAGCCAAACACGGGGACCAAATCCTGCTACAAACCCAAATGCCAATGCGCTTCCTCCTCCATTTACTCTGGCAACATTATTACAATCACCCAGTGCGAGAGCCCTTCTGCATTCTGCATTCCATGCAGGACGCGCAAGCCAAGCTTCTTATCTCCTTGCAGAAAACAATCAACAGGCACAATTCTAACATCAGAAACAGACAATCTTCAGAAACCAACAAAACATTGTTTCCATTTTCCAGGCCAGTCAAGTATTGTTCTTAAAGTAAGCCCTTGAACACAAAGGGATTTCAGAGGGAGACTCCAACAGGGAACTGAATTACATACATTTGGTTCAGAAAAGGGCCAGTTTCAGGTTTTATGCTTATTCAGGAGTAAACCCCACCATGATCAGGAAAGGCGAGACTTTCTAAAAACAATGGGACAAACCAGAGTCAATACCTGACCTAGTTTCCACCACTCAAGTGGTTTTTGCTCAGATGGAAGGTTTTACATGAATATATCCAAAGCAATTGTAACCCCTTGTTGACACCCTAAGGAACAATTCACCTACAAACAGCACATGGGGGGGGGGTTCATACTCCCATGTGCCATCAGAACACTATCTGGGTTTCTTCCTGAAGCATCTGTACAAAAAAGCCACTTAAAGCCCAGAGCGTTTTCCCTGCAAAACAGATTTTCTAACACGGCCCTTCAAGATTTCTCAGGACAGCAGGTGATTGTGAATGCTGCAGCCAACAAAGTTCCAGCAGAAAACCATTTCAAAAGAGCACTGACTGGCGTGAGGAAAGCTAAAAATAAACTGCATTTACATGTTCAAGAGAACCAGCTCCCCACCTAGGCACACATTAACAGGGTTGTGTCAATTATTACAAGATCCTGGAAAAAATGGTTGTTCACAGGACAAGCTCATCCCTTCCTCCTCCCCTCGCCCAGCTCACATGGCGACTGGGTGATAAACCTTAAAGATGATGTATTTTGTATCAAGTTGGATCTGGAAGCAGATTCCCCAAAAAAGGGAGGCATTTCCCGTTTCTAGCCTGTTTTAAAAAAAGATGGATAGATGGCTACAACTTTGAATTTTTTATTTTAAAACACATTGAGAGCAAAGGAATGAGAACTGTAACAACAGCATCATTTCCAACAAACACACGAGAGCAAGAGCTTGAACAAACCAACATTTTTCCCTTGCTTTAAATGTTATTTAAATTATTTTAAACGTTTAACTCCCATTTAATTCTCCATTTGGCAGAGGGCATGTGCAGACACTATAAGAATAAATAGGCAGGCCTGAGATAGTGCTACTGAGGTTGATTACTCTGATATATGTGTTTTTTTTTCCAAATCAATCCCAGGTCTCGTGTTTTTATTATTAAACATCTTAAGATATGCAATGAACTGCTGCAACACTCTGCTTTTCCATCATTGTTCATAATTTTCCAGCACAACAGTCAAAGGCACATGTGGCACCCTCCAAGAGTGGCACCCCGACCTTCCTTCCTACGGATTCAGGAGAAAGCCAGAGAAGAATTGTGTGTAGTAGTAAAGCACAAGGCCTCTTAAGCTGGTTCATGGACTAACCACAAATCCACCAAACTAAGCCCCAATTCCTGAACTGCAGCCAGGATCACCTAAGAGTCAACAACACTCGCCTGTTCACCAGCCAAACAAAAACTTGTAGCTTCAAAGGAAGGTCAAGGGAAGGTATATGCGTAAGGCAGAGTCCCTTTGATAAACTGGGGTGCGAGATCAAATCAACAGCTGTAACTTTTAAAACTACAACTCCAATCTCCAACTGCATCTTTCCTAAATTTCATCTAAGACACAAGCCTGGCAAAATCCATTCGCCATGAACCTGAGGGACTCTTTAAGTTCTTTGTACTCATGACAAGACACTGGTGCAAGTTGGATGAAGTGGGCCCTGATCCACAAAAGGTAGTAGATTATATGATTTCTTGAGTGATCTATAAAGGTATTGCCTACTCCTGCATTTGTACTGTATAACGATCACCCTGCTCTCTTGTATTTCAACTGAGTGCATCTGGTTACACAGCGCAACTCAATGTTTAAAATCTTGTTGCTTAGTATAGTAAGTTGTCCTAGAGTAGGCCTACTGAATCAGTGAGGGTTGACTGAGGGATTTGGTGGGTCAACTCCTCCACAGATTCAAGAAGGCCTACTTTAGTGCAACTTAGTACACTAAGCAACAGGATTTCAGCCAATGATTGGCAACCTGACAGTAGACAAATATTAAAAGAAGCCAGGACGCTCCAACTGAATTGATGCTCTCTTAGTGCAACTACTTTTTAAACTTTTCCAAAACAGGTGATCCTGTTCTGCTTTTCTTCTCGTTTATTTTCCTTTTTTCTTTTGATTAGGTAACTTTTAAACGTAACTATTTTTTAGCCTATTAAATCAGAGTCGGAAACCTTTATTAGGCATATACAGAATGACGATTTAACAAGTACGGCCTATAAAATAAAAGCCAAACAGCAAAGCAGGTCATTAAACATTCACATTTACAGAAACCTTCGCAAATACAAGTCAGTGTCATTGTGGCACAGGAACTGTTTTATATCATTAATTACCACCAGCCCTTGTTGTTTAGTCGTTAAGTTGTGTCGTGACCCCATAGACCAGAGCATGCCAGGCCCTCCTGTGTTCCACTGCCTCCCGGAGTTGGGTCAAATTCATATTGGCAGTTTCAGTGACACTGTTCAACCATCTCGTCCTCTGTCCTCCCCTTCTCCTCTTGCCCTCACACATTCCAGGTCTTTTCCAGGGAGTCTTCTCTTCTCATGAGATGCCCAAAGTATTGGAGGCTCAGCTTCAGGATCTTTCTGTTCTTCCAGTGAGCACTTGGGGTTGATTTCCTTCAAAATGGATAAGTTTGTTCTCCTTGCAGTCCAGGGGACTCTCAAGATCCGCCTCCAGCACCAAAATTCAAAAGCATCAATTCTTCGGCGGTCTGCTTTCTTTATGGTCCAGCTCTCACTTCTATACATCGCTACTGGAAAAACCATAGCTTTGAAAATGTGGACGTTTGTCGGCAAGGTGATGTCTCTGCTTTTTAAGATGCTACCACCAGCCCTACCAATGATTAAAATACTGTACTTGCCCTTTTACGTTTAGAGGTGTTAAACATTCTGGAACAACATTTGATCAACTCACTTTGTTAGGTTAGATGCCCAACTCTAGGACAACCAGTAGTCTCCAATTACACATGCAGGCAGTCTCCAGCCTGACAGTGAAAAGGATATGGGAACAAAACTGGAGGTACCTGGAGAAGGTGTTTGTGACTATAGGCTGAAGTTGCAAGCCCCCCCCCCCCCCTCGGTGCAATTCGGAACATGAAAATAGAGCCAAAAAGCAGCTTTCTTCTTCAGCAGCACAAATTGATGCAGCCAATATTCCTGGTTGTCCGCCCACAACCAAACAGAGCTTTGCTGGATTGTTTTGCAAACCTGGAGCATAATTTATGAAGTTTATTTTAAGACCCTTGAGCAGCTCTGGGTCAACAAGGAACGGTGACTGCTCACTCTATGTGGACTATCTGAGAGACGCTTTCCCATGCCTTTGTCAGAAACTATTGACTTCAGTAGGTCTATTCCCAACAGCCTCCCCTGCTTTTCCCAAAAAAAGAAAAGGAAGGGGTGACTCAGATATATATATATATATATGAACATCCACTTTGCATCTTGAAGGCTCAAGGCATTGGCCAGTTCAAAAGGAACCCAGGTATGTAAGGCTGGAAGGAGCCTTTGCTGGAGCACTGCCAGTCCAGAGGCAGCTGAGCAAGGCTAGACGGACCAACAGTCTTACTCTGTAAAGAGAGGGGGGGGAGAGCTAGACCCCACCTTCATGACTTGGTTGACCTCCCACCAACAATTTCCAAACCTCACTGATATCCTTATCTGCTGCAACCCAAAACAGTCTCTGCCCCCCCTTCACCCCAAACCTCACTTGTTCATTCATCACATGCACAAAGCAAGGAGGCATACCCCAACGGGAGTGTGCAGCTGAGATGTACCAAGACCGGAACGCAGAGCAGGGTTGTGAGAGACCAGGTTAAAAGTGTCCTCTTGGCCTGCACGTGGCCCCACATGGGATGATAGCCATGTACAGAGCCAATGCTCTGACCCACACCAGCTCTCCCTGAACTCTACATGTGACCTCCAGGATTACATGCTGGTTACAAAGGCAGCTTCTTAGGCTGATAAAATACCCAAAACAAGGTTAAGCCTTTCAACTCCCTGACACACCAGATTTAAAAATGAAAAAAAGAAAGAAAATCCATATGTGTGCATTTGTGTGAATCCATCAGTGATATTCCAGCACTGCTGATGCCATAAAGGTGAATGCTTCCATATCAATCAATAATATGCAGCTCTTTTCCAATACTGTACATCCATGCCTTTGCCACCCAAACATTCAAGCCCCGGTTGATCTGTCTATCCCTGGACTTTAGGGCTGGTCGCTGCCCCCTTTCCTAGCCCACATGTGTCAGGGAGAGAGCCAGCGGCAAAACAACAACGCGGGATCTCTCAGCCTCTTCCACCCACCCAGGGTTTTTGTAGTTCAAAAGGTCACCAGTCGCCCACACACACACAGAGACGCACACACACAGACAAACGCACAGGCATCCCAGAGCTTTCAGATCAGGCTATCAGGAAACAATCTCCAGACAGAATGCAAACCCCTATTTCCCTTCTTGCCCCAGAGGAAGGGGGTACTTTGTTAGGTCAGATGAGCCGCCGCCTCCCCCCCTGCGCACACCTCCCAGTCTCCCTCTCCAACAGAAGGCGGGTCAATGAACAGGGACTCCATCCCAGGGAAAAGAGGCGTCCGGTGCGCGACTCGCTCTCTTCCCAGCAAGCGCTGGAAGGAGACCGGGGTGGCGGGTGGGAGGGATCCAATCTCCGCCTCCACTTCCACGCCACCTTCCGTCTTCCTCCTCTTACATGGTGACAAATGAACCAATACTGAAAGCGATTTCACACCTGCCTGGAGGGCCCCCGGAGGCCGGAAAAGCCCAGCTGTGGGTCACACGTGCGCGCAGAAAGAAGCGCGCACACTTGCCGGCTCTACAGACACGGTTTGAGAGGAGGAGGAGGAGGAGGAGGAGGAGGAGCGCCT